AGTCTATTATTATTACACAATTTTGCTTAAATTTTATAAATCACATTAATATTAATGGTAGGCAATAATACTAATTACTAACCATTTAAATTTAAGGTACCCTAATTAATAAATGCTATAATAGTTACTGTTGTACGAATAACAAAAAGATATTTTAATGTCAAACAAATTAAAATGTATTTATTAACTTTTAGTACTACTTATGCAGGTTATGAAGTAATGAATGTTTAACAAAGCTTGAGTGAAATATATTTAACATTATTCAATTGATGTGAATATCTCTGGCTTTTCTCAATTTCTAGATTTATAAATGTATTTTTAATTGTCAGTAATTTTAAAATTAATGGTATTATTTGCTTTTGAAATACAATCATAAAGTCATTATTATTGAGGCATCATTTTTCATATTGAAGGACCATTTTTTCTAAAACAAAGTATTTTTATATAAAGATATGTAATGAATATATTTATTTTAAGTCACAAAAAGTTTGAAATAACTTAAATTACAAAATGAATTCAATTCGTGTGAATCGAGTTCTGCCCAAAGAGTTAATCACATCGTCAGCCAGTAATCAATTATATGAAATGGGTTTGTGTTATACCAGGAGTTCATACAATTTCTTTACAAAACGGTTATTTATTTGCAAACCATTTATAATCAACACTTGTTTTGTCATTTATTTTATTGAAGTCATAACTGTTACGTTTTTTGTATCAACCCAAAATCATAATATGAGGGTCATTTTGGCCGATATGACATATTTACTAGATATTCCTGGTCATATAAACTATATGTGCATATTATGGGCGATAGCACATACATGCTTTCGATACCTATATTACTATAACTTTAAACGTGGTATAAAACCAACATTTCTATTATTATTTGACATGTTTTCCGGTCACATAACTCCTATAAAGATTGGTCTTAACAGTGGTCATTTGGTTTGGATATTGTCTCGCAGGTCGCGTGTCTTATTCAAGGCAATCAGAATGATCCAGGTCTATTCAGTAGTTGGTTATATATCATTCTCATTGATGGCATATATACATAAATGTACACTAATGGAAGTGCTAGTGTACGGCATTCCTCAGGTTATATTACTCTCTGCTGTCGATTACTATGCAATTAAACAGATTCTATGGCTTTTGGTTCACTTTTATCTCATCTGTTTGTATATTAAATGCAAAATACAATTAGTAAACAAAGATCTATGTTATCGTATATTACACAACACGTATTTTGACAGCATTTACATCAGTAAAACCATAGTCTCGTTGAATAAGATTTATGCGGAGGTCAACGACTATAACAACACTTATTGGTCTCAATATATAGCGATTCTGTGGCTCCTATTCAGTACAATAGCGTGTATTCTGTCTTATGTGATAATATTTCAAAACACGGCATTAATCATAAAGATTATCTTAATTTATTTACTAATTCTGATTTATTCCTCATTTATATTCACGTGGTTTACGTCCGCATCACTTAATTACGAGGCAAACAAATCATATAAATTTTTCAATAGATATAATGCGATAATGAAACTAAATTTTAAACAAAAACGCTTTCCAAAACCGATTCCTATCCAACCGAAAGCCAAGCCCTAATCATAGAAGTTACATAATATTAAATAAAATTTTTAATTTGTTTGAACTTTTAGATATACATCTCGTTATAATTTTTATTAATAAATTCCGTAAATTTACAATAATATTTTCATTGGTTTACATTAATCTACATGTTTTACATACAATATACAGAATTTATTTTATTGTTAAACTCATGAGTTGATATCATTACACAAATCTTATTGACATTAACTATATATTTAAGTTTTGCTACAATTTCTTTTGCTTGTCTTCAATGGGAAGTGGATCTCCGGGACAGGTATACCATTCCAATAACCCTTTGGACAATAAAATAATAAATTTATATTATATGTGAGATAAGAATTTTGTAAATAATTAATATAAATGAATACCGGGAAGCGATCGCCGGATGACTGATTGCATTGCATAGACAGAGGGGATGACTGGTAGAAACGGTCGAGGAATAGGGCTCTATTGGGGTTCCACTCAATGGACAGGTAATTCTGTTTGACACTAGCGTTAGTCGACGTCGACTGACCCTCTCTTTCTCTCATATACTCGAAATACGAGCGCAGATACTGTGTGTCGACCGAACTCTTGCAGACTTCCAGATTGGACTTCGGATAATAATGGATATAATTAACGCACATCTCGTCGCTGATGGCATACCCGCCGAGCGTTATATTTGTGCGGCCAATGGTCTGGTAATCGCATGTATTGATCAATACATCGCCGGGAAATACATTCACCGGATGTTTGAGTTTTCTAATCTCCTGGAAGTGTTGACTGTAATGGTTGTCGCGGTTCACTTCGGGCAACTCGACGCCACCCCTCAGGTGTTGTGTCCAAACGCGGACACCCGTCAGATGGGTGTGGAGTTGGGACGCGAATATAGTGATACCATAGGGCGGTAGCGACGCTCGGGTGCACTCAGACGTACAATAGCCGGACAATTGAAACGACTGCTGATGCGGAGGAATGGAGTTCTTGTCGGTGTACTCGAGACCGATCTCCAGGACTCCGGCGTCGTGTTGTCGCAACTTATCGGTAT